CTAGCGTTGTCATGTAACAGAATCAGCTTGTTGTGCCTATTGTCCCATTCCGGTCGTTTTTCTTTCAAAGCTTGGTTTAAACGTATCAGTTGTAGTCGATAACGATCGCCAGTGATGGTTTCGGACGGTTTGAGCAGCTTATAATATATAACACCTCTCTGATCCCACCAGATGCACAATATAATCTTCGAAGCATGGATATTTCGTTTTGGCGTTTATGGACCTGGTTCACCTGGCATCATCCATGCTTTCAAGCGTTTAGGGTTATCGTAGTAAATCTATTTTTCATCGCCAGTTACGATACGATGTAGAAAACCCTTCCTTTGTTGTCGTTGACGAAGCATCTCGCAGATGACCAAACGTCTTTCCATGTCTCTCTCTTTTAATTTGTATGGCACCCAATTTCCCTCTTTTTGCACCATTCCCATTGCGTGTAGACGTTTTCCAACAGTGGATCTATCAACATTTAACTCTTTTGACAACCTATCGAGCGATAAACATGAATCTTTTTCGAGTAATGCTTGTAACTCTGCATCTTCAAATTTTTTCGGTGCACCTTCGCGTTCTTTGTCACGCACGTCAAAATCACCTCTGTTGAATCGCCGAAACCATTCTTTACAACTGGTTTTCGATGGAGCATGCTCACCGTAAACATCTACGAGCAAACGATGCGATTCTGCAGCACTTTTCATTAAAATAAAATAATGGAGTAAAACTTCCCGCAAATGTTGCTTTTTTGGAAAAAATTCCGACATATTCAACGCAAAAAAAGTTACTCTTTTTACGCTTCGAACGAATGCCAACTATTGGGCTCAAAAGTTTGAACACAAACCTTTCAAACACATGTGTTGCCGTTCTCTCAAACACACAAGCAATGCTACTAACGACATCTTTCTACAATGGGCGGAAACTTATTCCCATACCCAATACTTTTTAATTATAAATACATTAAATTTGATGTAATGTCATGAAATTAATTTCAGATTGTGTAACTTAAAATGTGATGAAATTTAAGAACATATCTAACAGTGTAATTACATTTAATACATTGTATATGATTTATATACATATATGTAATGTTATATATCCAGATAAATACATAAACACACACCCACACACACGCACGCACGCACGCACGCACGCACTTCAAAAAGACATTAGACATTAACATTTTACATATTTTGATTTTGAATGATTAACCAATTGATTTAATTCATTATTCTGTGCATAAAAATATTAAAGTACAACTGTTCAAAATAGTTTATGAAACATTTATACTTGAATAAAGTGTAATATATCTCATAAACTATTAATATTTTGACAAGTCTATCTTAATACTTTTGCATGCAGATTAGAAAGATCATTTTAAATTAAACAACTTTTTTCTAAATATACTTTATATTTAATGTGATTACCCTA